TTTTTAATTGTTACCACGATTTTTTTTAAAAAAAAAAATTTAGTGGGATTTTCATAAAAAGTGTCACAAATTGTTAGTTTTTAGTGATAGTTGAAAATTTTATTATAAAAAACGTCATTAATTATCATTTTTAACGATAGATGAAAAACATCACTAACAGTTGTGAGACTTTTTGATCTATACAGATACTTGAGACTTGATGGTGCACAAATTCTTATAATAGGACTTGTGAATGTTTACCCCAAAAAATATTTAGAAAACTATAGTCATGGATCACAATCATTCTTTATATAGCTCACATTCAATAAACTTTAAATTTACATTATACAATTTCATAATTAATTTCAAATTAAAAATTCAAAATAAATATTAGCATTTTTTAAATTATTTTATCTCAAGCTTGAAGAATTCCCTACGGATCTGACATTGGAACGGACGTTATAAGTAATTGACGTCATGTGATTCTTCTCTTTATTAATGTTTTAAATAAAGGTATCAAAAGGTGAATTGATATTTGCTAATATTATGATACAATGATAAGTAGAGAATAGGATAATGTGATTTAGGATTGAAATGCGAATTGATGTTTGTTAATATTTTATACCTAGTATTTTTCATTTAGAAATTTGTGGTTTTTATTTTTTAGGTCCGTAAAGATTTAAAAGGTTAAAAAATTTGGTAAAAATTTAGAAAAAGTTTACAAAAGGCAAAAAATTTGTGTGTGTTTTTTTTCTCCTCTTCCTTCGTTTGTTTAATTGGGTAGGACCTAAAAATGTAAATTTTTTAATTTTTTTTTATAAAATATTTACTAAGAATGAAATTTTGGGTAAAAAATGTTAATCGCTAACCACATCACAGTCAACATTGAATATCTTGTAATGCTGAATGATTAGTTCATTTGTAAATCAAATTTGTAGTGAACCGAATATCAAAATGGTTATTTTAATAGAATAATTAATCTATTTTATTTTTTATTTTAATAAATTAAACACTAAAAAATTATTCTTTCAAAAAAATAAAAATAAAAATAAAATATTCACACATCACTACAAGAAATGTCACTTTTGGCTACCAAAATATTGGTCGCCAAAAGTGACTTATTTAGTCGCCAAAATGAATTAGCGACCAAAACTTTTCGTCGCTAAGCTCGTCGCCTTTACCCTGTCGGCGATAGTATTGGCGACTAAAATCTGTTTGGTCGCCGAAAGTGTAGACATTTGGCTACTAAATTGGCTTTAGTCGGCAAAAGGTACGTTTCCCCTACTAAAATAATTGGTCGCCAATAATCAGCATTTGGCTACGACTTTGATTTTAGTCGGCAAAATATAGTTTCTGCCACTAAATAATTGGTCGCGGAATTAGGATTTTTGGCTACCAATCTGTGGTGGTCGGGGAAGGTTCACTTTTAGCTACTAAATAATTGGTCGCCGAAAGTGCACATTTGGCTACTACTTTGAGTTTAGTCGGCAAAAGGTCTGTTTCTGCCACTAAAGTATTAGTCACTAAAAGTGCTACCATAATTTAAGAATAACTATTATAGACCAAACATTTTTGTCACCAATAGAATACATATTTTTAGTGACTAAGTAATTTTTGTCATTGTTACTTTTGCCCACTAAAAGTTTTGTAGCCAAAAGCCTGCTCACATTTACTTCTTCATTTTTTGCCACCAAACATTTTAGTCGCCAAATGACACCATATTTTTTCCGTGACTAAAACATTTAGTAGCCAATACTTTCTTTATCTCTTTCTCAATTGTTTTAGCTACTAATTATTTGGTCACAAAAAATTAATGGGTTATGTTTTTGCTACTAAATTCTTAGTCACCAAAACATTTGATTACATATTTAGCTACCAAAATATTTGGTGGCCAAATATGTTAACATTTTTTTTTTAATTAAAATATTTGGTGCACCTGTATCCATTATTAATCAGCATTCCTGTATCCATCAACAGTAAATATGTTATGAAGCATTCAACAACAATTACACACATTTCAGTTCCAACCATCCAAAAAATTAATATTGAACATCCAATTATATATATATATATATATATTACAAATTTCATAAGAACCAAGTCTAAGCCCACGTCAATAATTTAATTCAATACATAATACTGGAATAACCAAAGTCATTGTGCACCTACAACTTTTGCACCACAACAAAAATTATATTATGTACCACGTGCTATGTTAATTGCTACCAACAAAAAATTTTGTACAAACCACTATACATCTCAAACTCTAAATCCCCAAATCTCATAATATGCCCTAGATGATAA